GGAAAACTCTTTGTCTGATTCTTTACTCTCAAGTTGACTATTCTGACTGTTATTAATCTGCTGGTGATCTTGTCAGCTGTCGTACTAACAACGTTCTTTCAATCTGCTTTCTACATTTTTCGGCACAAAGACAGTTGAAAAGGTCAAAAAGATTAAAAGAGTCAAAATTGCATTAAAGGTGTGTACTGCTTTTCAGTTTAATGTTTTCAATGCCACTTCCCTTTCATTTCGTTAGGAACATCTGTAGTACTATTAAGCTGTTTTGTTTAGTGTGCCTGTTCATCTGCTCATTCTTTGTTTGTTGGAGTTGATAACGACCTCACAAATTTCCATATTTTGTGCAAAACAATTTTGCTTGCTTACCCAGTGAAGCAGGGAAAACTGTTACATGCCTGTTCTAGACGTCCTGTCCATCAGTGAAGTAACTGCAGAGAGAAAGAAATTGTCCTTTTCAAGCAAGATTTACTGAACACTGAGGTTACAGGAGACTAGTCTGGGTTGTTTTAAGCATTGACCAGGTAAATTCTGATTATTTTGAGGATTCAGGTAGGCATAATGCAACAGGCACTATCTTCACTTCTTTGTTTTATGTTTCAGGATCAGGGGTGTTTCTTGGTGTCCTCTCGGATGTAGCTCTGACGCTCCTTGGTTTGTGAGAAGATTAATTGCTTGCATTTGTAACAGGCCAAAAATAAAAGGGCTGCTTGTTACAGAGCACGTAGTTTGATACAGCAGGGATTTTTTACATTTCTTATGGTTTTTACCTTGGCTTGGTATGCCCAGGCTGAGGTAAAATACAGAGCAGCCCAGCAGTGCAGCCTGGATGGTAACTTTATGGTGTTTTTAAAGAGTTAAGTAAATTATGCAAATGAAAACCTGAGTTTACAGTAGCTGGGGGTAAAAAAAAAGCATGTTAGATATACAGTATATGAATTGTCAGTGAGCATCACAGCAGAGAAGGGGTGGAGAGGAGCAGAGGCTGGCGTCTCAGCGAGGTTTCTAACAGTTTCCCTTGCTTGTCTGTTGGGCAGTCATTGCTGCGGTGTGGGGAAGGCAAATTCTCATTACGTTTATGCATTATGATCTTATGGCAACCTTTGAAGTCTTCTAACGCGCATGTTTACCGCAAATATTAACCTTCTGTTAACCCACATGCATGTAGTGTTTCTTTATGTGATAGCTTGTGAATTGAAAATACCGGATAACTTCGTATTTGCTGTTCTCGAGAATGTAGATCAGCCACTGACAGAGAGGTTGAGGGGATCTGGGAAATGATGCTGGACAAATGCACTGCAGTAGTGTTTTCCTGTACAAAGAATCAAAAATCCCAGTAGGAACTGAGGCATCTCAGGAGAAAGATTAGCCCAAAATAGCAACTGCTTAGTGCAGTCGATGCCTGCTCTTCCCTGCTGCTCTTATAGCAGGATCCCTTCTCAGCAACGTGATTTCTTCCTCCCTCGCTTCTCTGATAAATACCACGGTCGAATATGGTGTAGGTAACTTCCCTTTAGGACAGGCAGGGAGGTTGAAACATGGTGAATTTGGAAGAGATGGGTATTCTGGTGTGGGAGTGGGGTAAAACAAACAAGGTAAAGAAAAATGTGGTTTGAAATCGGGAGTTAAATAAACCACAGATTTTCAGAGCTGGTGAATCCGTCTCAGCAGGCTGCCAAATGCATTGAGTTTTGGGTAGGATGGTTGTTGTTCTGCTATAAAGAATTGCCAGTGTGTCAATGGTAAGTATGCAGAGAAGTATCTGAACAAAACAACATTGACTTGAGCCGTTTCATGTATGACAGTTTATTTCTGTTGGTGTTGATGCAAGTTTACTGTGTTTGATGTTTAGAGCAGCAGGATGTTGTAGGTGGTGGGAATGTCTGCTGGTTGGTAGTTTTTAGACCTCTAGGAAGATATTCTTGGGGTTTAAAAGGAGTGTCTGCTTAGGGAGAGTGAGAAAAACTGTAAACCGCTGAGACTTAGTGGAGTCATCCTGAGCAACGTCAGTCATACCACACAAAAAAAGAGGCAGAGTATGGGGAGGGAGTGTGCACACAAGCATTCACAGTTTAAATCTTTAGCTGGAAATGGGGTGTTTTCGTGAGGAGATGTTTTAGTGGTCCTGAGCTGAGAAGTCAAAAGCAATCTAAGATTTGCTGCTTTCGGAACGGTGCAATAAATGAGTAAATGATAAACTCGGGGGTGATTTGTCTCAGAAAACTTCACTCTTGTGGTGGGTATGAGGTTTTGCTGGCTCTTTGCATGCATTTAACCGATGTATCTCCACGTTGTTCCTATTAATGACACTAATACCTGGCATTTCACGCTTTCTGTGATTTCATAGTAACTGATGATTAGCTCTGTGGGCTTTTGGGAAGCATGGTGCTCTACAGCTTGCACGTGAGGGCCTTGCAAAGGGAAATGAAGCCCCAAACTGCCCGTGCGGAGCTGCTGGCGTGCCCCCAGTGCTGTGGCCCACAGGGTTTTGTCTGTATATATAGCCTGGAAAAGCAAAATGTGGGAACTCCTTTCAGTGACAGAAAGCGTGGGAGGTGTCCCTGCTTATGGCAGGGGTTGGACTGAATGGTCTTTAAGGTCCCTTCCAACCCAAACCAGTCTGTGATTGGGTTTGATAAAGCAGGGTGCAACATCAGGGCAATAGTTTGGGTTTGGAAAAGTGCAGATGTGTGAATACCAACACCAAGTGGTAACAGAGGGAAACCCAAA